GCAAGATGAAATCAAAGAGACTTGTACCAAGACACATTATGATCAAGCTTTCAAAGCCAGAGACAGAGAATTTTGGAAAAAGAAGCAAATCATCAGACACTAGGGACCCTCAAAAACAATCAGAGTTCTCATCAGAAATTTTGAAAAGCAGAAGGCAGTAGGCTGATATATTCAAAGTGCTTAAAATAAGTGTTTACCCTGTATTAGCACCTTTTAGCAATAATGTATTTTTAATCAAAGTATTTATTTATTTTTAGACCTATGTTATTGCTAAAAGGTGCTAACTATCTTCTGAGCTTTCAGAGTTATAATCATTCTGATGGAAGAGGGTCTTGCCTTAATGTTGACGGCAGTGGATGGATCAGAGTAGTGGTTGCTAAACGGTGGGATGGCTATAACAATTACTTAAATAAGACAATGAAGTTCGAAGCATTAAGGGACTCTTCCCTTCACAAACCATTTCTCTGTAGCATGAAATGCTGTTTGATAGTATTTTACCTACAACACAACCTTCAACATGGGTGTCAATCCTCTCGAACCCTACCACAATTTTCTCAGCTAAGTTTACGTAATATCCTAATTCCTTGCTGTCATTTCAACAATCTTCACAGCATTTTCACCTGATATAGACTGCATCTCAAAAAACCACTTTGCTCACTACTAAGAACAACTCCAACTATTAAAATTTGATCATGAGATTGAAACAACCCTCTTCAGGCTCTACTTCTAAGTCTAGTTCTCTTGCTATTTCTACCATATCTACAGTTACTTCCTCCACTAAAGTCTCAAGATTCTTAAATTCTTCCAAGAGGGTTGGAAGCAACATCTTCCAAACTCCTATTCATATGGATATTTTGACCTGTCCCATGAATCACAAATGTTCCTATGGCATCTAGAAGAGTGGATCCTCTCCAGAAGGTTTTCAATTCACTTTGCCAAGATCAATCAGAAAAATAACTATCTATGGCAGCTTTGGCCTTACAAATTTCTTTCTTAAATAAGACTTGAAAGTTGAAATGACCCTTTGATCCATAGGCTGCAGAATGGATGTTGTGTAATAGGCATGAAAACATGAATCTCCATCAGAGCTGTTGGGTGACCAGGTAACACTGTCAATGAGTAGTAATATTTTAAAAGAAAATTTTTTCTTTTTTTTCTTACCATATTGTAAATAAGTGTGCTGTCACTCGTGCTTTGTTATTCCATTTATAAAGCATGGGCGGAGTAGATTTAGCATCATTCTTAAGAGCTCTAGGATTTTCAGAATGGTAAATGGGCACTGGTTTCAACATAAAGTAACCAGTGGCATTAGCCCCTAACAAGAGTCAACTTGTTATTTGAAACCTTGAGGCCAGACATTGCCTTCTCTCTCTGAAAGTCGTAGATGGCATCTTCTTCCAACAGAAGGCTGTTTGTCTACACTGGAAATATATTATTTGGTGAAGCCACTTTCATTCACTATCTTAGCTAGATCTGGATAACTTGCTATCACTTCTATATATCAGTACTTGCTCCTACCCCTTGCACTTTTAAGCTAGACAGAGACTTCTTTCCTTAAACCTCAAGAACCAATCTCAAGCCTCAAACTTTTCTTCTGCAGCTTCCTCACCTTTTCTTTCCCTTCACAGAACTGAAGAGTTAATTAAGGCTTTGCTTTGGTTTAGATTTTGGCTTAAAAGAATACCATGGCTGGTTTGATTTTCTATCCAGGCTCCTGAAACGTTGCATCAGCAAAGAGTTGTGCTTTCTTATCATTTGTGTGTCCATTGGAGTAGCACTTTTAATTTCCTCCAAGAACTTTTCCTTTGCCTTCAAAACCTGGCTAAGTTTTTGGCTCAAGAGGCCTACCTTTTGGCCTATCCTGGTTTTGCCATGCCTTCCTCACTAAATTTAATCATTTCTAGCTTTTGACTTAAAGTGAAAGATGGGTGGCTCTTCCTCTCACTTAGAGGCCATTCAGGCATATTAATTGGCCTAATTTCAAAATTTTTGTGACTTGGGGAAGAGGACAGCCAAGAAGAGGGAGAGAAATGGGGCCAATGTGAAGTATGTACAGAGGTCAAAACACATACATTAAGTTCACCATCTTATATGGGTGCAATTCATAGTGACTCAAAATAATTACAATAGTCATATCGAAGATCACTGGTCACAGATCATCATAACAAATAATAATGAAAAGCTTGAAATACTGCAAGAATTACCACAATGTGAGAGACACAAAGTAAGCAAATGCTACTGGAAAATGGCACCAACAGACTTCCTCAAGGCAAAACTGCCACAAACCTTCAATCTGTTAAAAAACAAAACAAAACAAAAAACAAAACAACCATTATCTGTGAACTACAATCAAGGTATGCTTATACACCAGGCTCTGCCTAATTCTAGCAAAAGCTCCAGTCTTATCTCTAACTCTGACCAAAATGTACCAAATGCTGTGTAATTCATGCATCATCTCCTATAATTTCATGTATTTGTTCTTTGGCTAATGCAGTTCTCTCCTGAAGTATCATCTCTCCTCCCAAGCCTAACTTCTCATTCCTAAAAATACACTGAGCTCAAGTTAATAGCTTATCCAGAAAACTTGCTTGACCACATCAGGTTAGATTACATCTTCTTTACCTTATCAAAACGGCTCATCAAAACACTCAACAGATTTTACTGAAATTATCTTTTAAAATATTTCTTGCCTCATCAGACCGAAAGTTAATCCTGAAAGCCAATCCTAGGTATTCACCTAGGATTCACCTGTCTATTCACCTTAACAGCCTCAGAATCCAGCTCAGTGCTCCACATATGGTGGATAATAAATGTATGTTACATTTATTTCCTACTGAAAAATGTTGCTCCTTGCTTTTCTGTTTATGTACTTTTTCAAGGTAACTATTAAGAGAGACTTGACCATGGCAGCTATACAACTTCATCTAAGAAAGCACTAAAAATAGGATATAACTTCCCTAGTAGACTTCTGTAAGTTCTTCTTACTAACCCTATGAAGGTCCAAGGAACCCTGAACTTCCCATACTAATCCTCTCCATATTAAAGAAATGGGTGGGAAAATAAAAGGATTTATTTCTATTGTTATTTGCCAATAGTTGGAAATGTGAAACCCCATTTATATTTCACATACTTATTTAGAAATTTCAATACTTCTATTTAACTAGTAGCCCACTGGTGAAAGCAATAAAAAAAAATTTGAACATTTCATGTTCACAACTAGTTTATACAACAGAAGTCAAATAAAGTATTAACTACACATTTAGTATTCTATGAAAAGAGGGTAAAAGCTACTAGGTAAGGAAAGTGAACTAAATACACACATCTATCACAGTTGTTGTTAAACAGGAAGAACTGGAGAGACAACACAAACAAAATTCGGAAGCAGAAAAACAAAGGGATTGCTCATATAAGCATAGGTGCAAATTCCTAAAAAAAATAAGAAATATAATCTGGCAATATACAATATACATTGGAGATCACATGTGTGTGAGCAATAGATAAATATAAAATACAGTGTGACGAGTATATTTCAAGAACACAGGACTGGCTTAACAGTAAGGAATCAAACATTTAATTCACCACATTAACAGATTAAAGGAGAAAAAAATTTGATTATCTTAACAGAAAGAATATATTTGATAAAATGCAACTTTCATTCACAACAAAACTCTCAGCAAACTAGAAATCGAAATAAATTCTATTAATTATTGTTAAAGGAATTTAGTACAAGAAATACAGACACATAAATCTAAGTTTTTTTTTTTTTTTTTTTTGAGGTCTGGAACAAGATAAGAATGCTTGGGTTTACTCTTTATATTTCATATGGTATTGGAAAGTCTTGCCAGAGCAATAAAGCAAAAAAAATAGCTGTACAGATGAGAATGAAGAAAATGAAACTGCCATTACAAATGTTCGTAGAAAATTATGTTCATAGAAAATCCAAATGAATTTACTGATAAATTATTAGATAAAAGTTTAACAAGGCTACTAGGTAGAAAATCATTTAAAAAATAGATTTATATACATCAGCAACAAACAAAACTGAGGAAAAAAGAAAAAAAATTACCACTATATATAACTAAGAATGGCCCAAATTTAAAAGTCTGAAAATACCAAAGATAACTAGGATACCATTTTTTGCCTCTTAGCTTCAAATCTATCCTCATTACCTGCTCTTTGATAATAAAGAGATATGCTTACAGGGCAGGCCTTCAACAGCTACATGATGTTCAGCCCTAACAGAAGATGCCATCAGGTTAAGTGCTTCAGGCTGTGATTTCCTGTCCACCAGCCTTGGTAAACTTATACCTCAGAGGAATGTTTTCTGCTTGCTCAAAAACAGAAAGGTGGAAGAGTCTTCTCCAAGAAATCAGACCAACCAATCAATCTTTCAAAAAGAACTAAAGGTATTGACATTTGGCATTCCTCATTATGAGATATAGTCAGATGACTTTACAATAAAGTTCACAGTTGGCAAGCCCCATCTATGCACTCAGAGCTTTCAAACAACTTTTTATATCTGATTTTTAATCACAAGCAAATACAAAGATTGTAAGCACACACACACACACACAAAAAGAGCAACTCAAGGAAACAGAAACTACTCAGAGAAGGAAAAATAGTATCTCTGGAGAAAAAAAGAATGTACAACTATGAAGTAAGCTCTTAAAAATTAACATGACAAAAGTAAAAAAAATTCAACAGGAAAGTTATTAGGTAAGTCTCATGAAATTTCCCAGAAAGTAAAGCCAAGGGAAAACCTAATATAGATGGCTAAGATATAGACAAGTAATGAGAAAAACTGAGGTCTGAAAGAGTTTTATGTATAGAGAAAACTACAGAAATGGAAAAGTAAGATAACGGTTAACTCTAGGAATAACAAAAACCAAGGTAACAAAGGAAAAATAATAGTTAACTAAATGGCTTATCTCTGCATAGTATACATACATTTTCATAATGTGAATATGGAGTACTGATATAATCAAAATTAAGATAACTGGGTGCTCACTTCAGCAGCACATACACTAAAATTGGAACAAGATAGAGATTAGCATGGCCCCTGTACAAGGATGACATGCAAATGTGTGAAGCATTCCATATAAAAAAAATAAAAATTAAATAAAAATAAAAGATATATATTTGGGAAAAACAGGTAGATAGGAAGCATGCATGTGTGTGAAGTGGGAACAGGTAGAAAAAATAGCAAATCCATCTATATGGGAAAGTTAATAATAATAATGGCTAAACACCAAGCAAACAAAAGGCAGTATAATTATAAGAGCGTGTAATAATATAAATATCATAACACCAAAAGTCACTGACCCCACAGAAGGAGAAAAAGGAGGGAAGGAGGCAAGGAGATGCTCTTTGGTCTAAAAAGAAAACAGCAACAAAAAAAAAAAACCTGTAACCTAACTCTTTAAAATATCTTCTTGTGTAACTCTAATGAAAGTAATAACTTTAAAAAGATAGCTTGCCCATATTCACATGGTAAACTACAAAATATGAGTTTTTTAAGAAAGCATTCACAGTAGCAAGAAAAAATTTTAAATTATTTAGGAATAAAATCAACAAAAATACGCAAAATGTAGATTAGGAAACCACTGCTACTTAAGTGAGTGACCTAAATAAATGTGTTCACAATCTAGGAACTGGTTATGTCTACAACAGTTCTTAATTTGATGGATAAATGTAAACCTAATTGTAATTAAAACTAAATAATTCTAAGGAATACCTGGAATAAATGCAAAACATTATCAATGATGTTTTAAAAACAAATATTTTAAGTGACAAGCATAGTTTCAAAGCTATTCTAATGAGAACCAAATTCTAAATGAAGGCATTAAAGGTGATTGGATATTTCCTTAATTTTTCTCAACTGTCGTTTTCTAGGGGGTGGGGGAGGGTTTGTTTTGTTTTGTTAAGAATCAGTGCAGAATACTTTTAAAATACATTATTGAAAAAGAAGAAGATAGGTGGTTAATAGGTTACTGAGTTCAATAGATCACACTGATACTCCTCCTACCTTATCACATGACCTCAATAATGTATTCAGTTTCTTTTCTGGTCCTTCAGGTCTTTTTGGTCCTTTTGATGTATTTTTTAAACATTACTACTATGGCAACAATAAAACTGCCCAGGCACCCAAAGCATATTTAATTAACCAACTTAAGAACGAACAAAAAAGTCTAGTACTGGGAGTTCTCCAACAAAGATAGCAAAGAGATAAATGAAACAAAAGATAATCTAGTATTGGGTCAAAAAGAAGTTCCACAGGATCCTTAGAGTGGATTTTGAGGGTTCTTCTGCCACCCTCCCCACACTGTTTATTTTAAATCAAATTTATTTTTCTTAACATCTCCGTAAAAAAAGAAAAAGTTCATTATTTCCATACACATATGAACTGAGGCAAAGGGCAGTCACACAACTTGTTTGAAATTATACAATTAAGTCAATGACTGAACTGTAAACAGAACCTAAGATACCCAACTGCTAGTCTGCTGCTCTAACTAATGGATCATGCTCCCTGCTATGTAATAGGACTGTTTCCTTTAATCATGAATTCTTCATTCACCATCGGCTTATCAGTCAGAGGCTTCATTATTAATTTTACTGTTCTTGCATTCACGGCATTATTCTAAGAATAGGAGATTTCTATGATAAAAAGAAAAAAATATATATATATAAAGACCACTGCTTTTTATATTATACCAAATCTGAAAATTCCAACAGCCATGGCAAGGATACTTTACCAAACCTGCACTTAATGGCACATTTACATGTGGAACAGCAATATTTTTTTTAAAGATTTATTTACCTGAGAGAGAAAAAGAGTGCATGTGCATACCAAAGAGAGCAAGGCATGAAGGGCAGAGGGAGAGGGAGAGTTTTTCCTAAGCAGACTCCATGCTGAGTGCAGGACCTGACACAGGGCTCGATCCCAAGACCCTGAGATCATGACCTGAGCTGAAGCCAAGTCAGACACTTTGACTGCACCCCCTAGGCACCCCAGTTAACAACTATTTAGGGTTGGTCAGTGACCTAGAATAAATTAATTTTGTTCTTACATACCCCAGTATCAGAGCACTTAAAATCTTACATTAGAGTATTTTCTGGTATCATTAGTCAACAAAATTCACATATATGATCCGTATGTAAAAGTCCAAAATGGAGCAGGTTGTTAAAGATACATGGAGGATCTGTGGTGCTAGAAGATAAAAAAGATAAGATAAAAATGAGATGTTCTTACATTTTATGCTAAATCTATAAAAGAAAATTTATTGGGTAAGCAAAGTAAATATCTGAAAAGAGGTATGTAGTCACTTGTCTTTGAGAAGCACTTTGTGTTTCTTTGGCACAGATCACGGCAGCAGTAGTAGCAGCAGCCTTGCCCTTGGTGCTGATTTCTTACTACTCTAAATGTCTCCTCTGAGCCAGAATACACTGGCTGTTGCTGATCATGCTGTGAGACACCTGCACTGGCTACTAGGCTTGTCATGACGCACAAAACCCTACCATCTTCAGCTTGACATTGTGCAAGTTATAATTATTCATCCAAATGAATATGTCAGAGCAGCAGCAGCAGACCTCTCATCAGAGCAAAAGAAAAATACATCAAAACATTATCAACCCAGCAGGAAGACAGGGACCATAAGGAAAATTACCCATTTTTAATATGGATGCCACAAAGCCATGCCTATTATTTCACAAAAAAGAAAGGAAAATAAAGATCTTCCAAGTTTAAAGTCCAGAAACACTGAATCCAAAGAGGAAATATACAAAACAAAAACAGACAAGGATTTTTTTTAACCAATTATCTGGAACTTATGTACAGTGTCTTAAATATAAGTTTGCTGTTAGACTACATTTATTTTGCTTAAGAACCACAACTGTTTAAAAATTGCTAAGAAAAAATAACTCTCACAAGCAGAAATGCTTCCAACATACCAATGAAAACAGATCACACACAGCAAAGTAGTCTGATATTGCTTACTTTTAAAACATAAACTAATATTGCCAATACTCTTATGTCTAAAAGACTCAAGAGTTCATACCACTAGCAGTATTATCAAAATGCTTATGGTGTACTGCCAGACTCTAAACTAGTAAGTAAATAATATATTTTGAAACTTTTCTAAATTTTAATGGCAAATGTAAAAGAAAAACAGAAATCACCCCCAGATCTACACAAATAAAGACACAGCCAGATTATCTGAGCATACATAAAGTAGGCAAGTGTAAATAAGATTCCTATCTCCTACTTAAATATGAAAAAAAATAACTTTTAGAATGATAGGAAACTATCTTTTCAGAACAAGATAAAATGATTTTCTCATTCAAGACACAAAAAGCAGAAATCACAAAAAGAAATTGATAAAACGGGACCATACTGAAAATTAAACTTCTGACAAAATAGATTACATGCAAAAGATAAAACTATGCTACAGAGAAAAGATACACCCTATGTAACAATATCCAAATTAAAAAGGAATGCTTATAAATAAAGAAAAAAATCTAAATAAGAACAATTATAAATAAAACAAGAATTATTTCAATTTTTGTAAAGAATTAAGGTCAGACTAAGACTTGGAAAGGATCTGGAAAAGTAGATACACATGCATTACTGGGTAGGGATATAAACTTATACAACCAATGTGAGAAGGCAATGTGGCAATATTTAGTAATCTCAAAGAGGTACAGTCTCCTCAATCCAACATTTTCATTTCTAAGCATAAGCCATACTAAAAGACTGACACGTGTACAAGGAAACATAGATGTTCACTAGAGTACAACTTAAATTGTGAACAACCTTATCAGTAGGGCATTGGATAAATTAACTGGCGGAGTCAAAATAATAGAACTATAAAAAGCATTTGATATACTAAATGTGCAAAGATCACAGATAAATCTCAGAAACAGTGCTGCCTAAAAAAATTCAGGCAACCAAATTCTAGAATATGGCATGAACAAATGTAGGAAAAATAGGCAGGATAGCACACACATCAGTTTCAAAGAGGTGGTTACCTCCAGAAAGGGAGAGAAGGAAAGAAAGAGTAAGAAAGGGAAAAGAGAAATAAAGTCTTAGTTGTTCCTGTAACATTTTATTCCTGAGAGAGAAATAAGCGCTAGAAATGAAACAAATGTGACAAAAAATTAACTCAAATCTGAGTTGTGGATGAAAAGGTTATCTAAATTTTTATCTGTGCTTTACTAAGAATTTTAGTATATTCTTTAATTTAAAAATAGAATTTATGACATTCCAATTATTACTAATCAGTTCTATTTTCTTGGAGCTAGTACAAAACAGAAAACTTGCTAACTAAATCTAAAACTCATCCCATGCTTAAATGTGCAAGGCATTGAGCTGGTATTAAACAGGGACAGAAAATTTGAAAGAAATTATCCTCAGAGATTTTCCAGCATATTGAAATCATAAAATAATTTTGCTAAATGACAGAATAAAGGTAAGTGCTAAACAGTCTTTTTGTGGAGATGCAAACTCTTTCACAGATTTAAAACTGGGGAAAAAGTTGCAGCGTTACCTACACTGAAAACACTAAAAACTCATCAAAAATACAGTCTTCGACTTGCAGTTTTGATACACATTATATTTAATGTAGAGATAGCATATCTGGAAAGAATAATACAATCTAGGTATAGGGTTATCTCATAATCTCGCATAAAACAAAAAGTTTCTAGAGTCTAATAGGGAATTTATATTTAAAAGAGGAAAATGTTTATTTTAAAAAGAGGAAAGCCAAATAGAAAATGTGTATTTTAAAAAGAGGAAAGGCTTCTTTTTTTTAAAAAAATGAACACAGTATTTCTTAAGTATTTATAATATATATTAAAATACCAAAAGCAAATTACAGGGTTTTTCCTCTCCTTTACTTTGCTGTGCTTTCTCAATTTCCATTGAAAGGAGGGAGACAGTTGTTTTTAAAGAAAAAATATGAAAATAAATTTTAATATATAGGGATAATTAAAATGACATTTGAACCTACATGATACTATTTAAATCCTATTTTTAAAAACTAACTTCATATACAATTACTATATGTATATACTTAAAATAGTAGGCATAAATTTTCACTTGACCCTATC